TTATTACGTACCTACCTATTTTTGAAATTAATTTTCTTACACCAATTTTCTTGTTATTCATTTATCAAGACATAAAGATCAACATTGATAAAGTACTGTGAAAAAATTTTAAATATTTTCTAATATTTATTACAACATTTTATCATGGGTAGTCGTAGTGTAACTACAATAGGTAGCAGACAGCAGTATGCAGTATGTTCATACTTCATATTATATTATTACGGACAGTATCTTTGACTATSTATAAGGTTTCATGTACGAGGGTATATAATATAATATAATACCTAGGTATATAATTATTTCAAATTTTATATTTTTCTACAACGAATTTCTTCCGTAGTGATTGAATGTATCCCAAATAAATCCCAAAAAAACGACCTCATTTTCTMAGAAAAATTTCTTTTTCTCTTTGTGTATAAATAACTTATTATGCACCATTCGGTCTAGAAACCAAATTAGGTACCTTATTTGTTAAATGTCGTAAATAAAATATTATGATTTATTAAAAGTACCTGTAAGTACTATTTGTATACGATTAAATTGATAATTTAAAGTCTCTGAAGTCATCTTATGTAGGTAGTCATTTGTAGTCATGATTATTTGTCATTAAACTTAATAATTTACATAATAGCAAGGCAAATAGGGAAACATATTCTTAATTCTTATAATAATTAACAGATAATAACTATAAACTATTTTTTTTATCTATCTCTGACACCTTTTCATGGTTACCTGTGACGTTGTGATTTGTGAATAAGTATACGAATTATCTATTGTTATTAAATTCAATTTAGGTTCCTAGACTAAATTAACTTATATAGGTATCTAAGTACATACTATCTAATTATACTAAATTTAGACTATTTATAAGTTTACAAGTTTAATTTGCTACGCAATTTGAAATTTTGGCACCAATATTGAATACACTGCAAGTCTGCAACTGTTATTTCACAACTGTTGCGACACATTCATTCATAATTAATATTTTAATTGTTAACTCCTACAATATAATATTGAAATTAAGAATTCCTTATAAGAAACTATTTCTTATCTTTGTTTAATAAATATTGCTGTACCTACTAGTCCCATATGCGCTAAGCATATTATATTTATGTTATATATGGATACAATATGTATACGGTTTTATGTTTTTACACGTACGTAATTCATAAAATATGCTGTTTAAATTCGTTTGGTTTGTCAAACAGTGATTGAGCTCGTTGATAGTACTAGAAACACTTAACGCGACGTATTAACGGATTAATCGTTTATCGACAATTACATATTTTATCTGATGATTGATTGCGTAACGATTTATTGCGCATAAGTATTCAAAATATGATTTACTGAAAATAATAACAAAATTATACATAATTTATTTTAATATGTGTAAAAGAATCAAATGAATGCTACGCGTGGTTCATAATAGTAATGTATATACACTYACAAAATTATTTTGTTCTGAGCGGGGGAGGGGAATGCTTGAACTTGGATAATGTACACCRCCACCGACCCACTGTCCGACTTGTCTGATTCAGCACGATRTGGTAGCGTGTTTATGCGATTCGTCCTTGTGACGTTTTACCCGCATTATCATCGTCGTGCAATTTCGCGATCACGTATGTGTATAATTGGTGACAGTATGTATTATAGGTGAATCGCCATAATAATAACGAACCAGTTGTGCTCAACACGCTACTGGCCTACTAAGAAAATAAAGAGAAAAAATCGATAATAAATAGAGAAGAAAAAGAAATATAACGTACACATATATAGTTGCCGCCGAGACCGTTAATCAAGTTCGACAACCTGGTATAGCCCGTGTTCGGTCTCTCACTCTTTCTCTCTCTCTCTTTTCGTCTCTTTCTTTCAATAGCATGTTGCCACAATCACGTCGAAAACCATGTCCGAATAAGACCTGTTAATTCTAACACTTCGACCCCACTCACCCGCCATTTATTCTTAAAAAGCTCGATTTGTTAAAGCTGATATAAGTAACTACAATGTCTGCGTATACTGTTATAGTGATATTAAATCAAAATTCTTGTAAGCTCAACAACACTAAATGCATAATATCATACCTATTCATAAAATATGATTATCAAATTTTCGTCAAAGTTGTCTTTCAGAAATTACCGGTAAATCGAAAAGATATTTTTGTTCCGTCACATTTACCGYTTTCAGCTGTCTGTTAAAAGAAGTGACAATAAAAAATCTTTTTAGTTTTTCGTATACAATAATATTATGATTCCATTAAAAATCTATAAATGTTATAATATGAAAGATTAAATAAAAGATTAATAATCTATATTAATAATTATAAATTGACTTGCAACGTTCTATACTTACTATAATTGTTAAGTTTTTCACATAAAAGTTTTAAAGCTGTACCTATACCTGTATTTTATAATAGGCTATTATATTTATATTTACATATAGGTATTTCATTACATTTTATTTGACGCCCCAAGTATTATTATTATTTTTTAGAATACTTACTAGTGTTATCATTTGAATTCTTAAAAAAATATCAAAAGTCATCGGTAAAATGTAAAT